ATTCTAATATGCTGTTTTGCTGCTCAAGAAACATTTCTGATTATCAATGTTGAAAACAGTTGTGCTACTTAATATCAATGCAGAAACATTTTAAAATAAATTCAAATAGAAAAAAATTCTTTTAAATTATAATACTATTTCACAATACTACTGTTTTTACCGTTTCTGATCAAATAAATGCAGCCTTCATGAGCAATACAGGCTTCTTTCAAACACCTTTTAAAAAATCTGTCACTCCAAACTTTTGAATGGCAGTGTACAGTATGTAAAATGCATATTTTGAAGATCATCTATAAAGCAGGCTGCAGTCGTCGATTAATAATCAGCACAGCAGTAATTACACTATGCTCCTATTAGGAGTTCTTTACCTGGTTTGAGGGTTTTGAGGGGCAGTATCCGCTGAGCGGTGACCTGTGAGCTGTTGTTCTCCATGACAGCAATGCGCAGAAATGCCATATCCTCGAAGTGCACATGAAACTGGAAGTGCTCATTCCACATGGGATTGAGTGTGTTGCGGTGTATAGGCTTGGTGCGGAAATGGCAGCTGTCTGCCGGCATACCCAACACCTCCACTTCCACACAGGGACTTCCGTTCGAGTTCCCCGGACACACATTCTGTCCCGACACAATCTGTGTGCACATGAATTAATTAATGTCTGTTAGATTAGCTAAGAGTAGTTTTGAGTTTCTGACTATGGGATACTTACAGTGAGAGTGTAGAGCGTGGGGGTCATGTTCTCCAGGTCTCGATCCAGAGGGTAAAATTGCTGATAGAGAGGGCAGCTTTGCTCCCACAGGACCGGAGGCTTCAGCACATAACCACAGTGACCATTAGCCTCGAACAGAGCTGCGTTCAGCTGCATGGGCAGATCTAGAGGAGAACATACCAGCCACAAACAAATTATTTTCTCAAGAAAGATTTCTTGAAATAATCTTTAGAATAATGCTTATCACCATATCTGAATATTTATATTTATAGATTAAACATGAGCCCTATCTAGTGAAATGGTACATGAAATAAATGTAAAGTATTATTTAAAATAAAAACTGCTGTTTTCCTGGCATACTACAAAAGCAAATGGTTATATTTAATAATTGATGTATTATTTATTGGTTTAATTTAAATAAAATAGTACATTTAATTAATAATCTCTTAAGGCAATACATGCCAGGTGAATAAGGTAAACATGTAATAGATATTGCTATACTTCCCCAGTTGATTAAGAATTGCAAATTTTTTTTGGTATTACAAGTTTTCTTAAATGTTGTTTAAATGTGAAAATAAGGCATTATCTAATTATATATGCACAAATTTAAACATTGGATAAAGTCGGGTACAAAATTATTTTAATTTTGTTGACATATTAGAGTCAAAGGGGATTTCAGGTGTCTTTTTTATCACACCATAAATTAGAATGGATGCAGTTAACAGCCAAAAAAAAAAAACATTCACCATGTTCTTAGGAATAAATGTTATATAAATTAGCCAAATGATATACGAACAAACCCCTTTTCAGAATATAGATAGGAACAAAACTGTAAAGTTTGGTGCATGTAAGTGGTGTGTAGTGGAGATTTCTGGCCCAGTGCAATAATTTTGAGAAAACAGCTTTTAAAAATATGCATCATAATTGATGCAAATAGATAAAGTGCAATAAAATAAACCCTTAAAAGTGTATTTTTTTATGTTTTTTTTCACCACTAATATGACAACTTCAGGAAAACACTATAAAAATGGCCCGACTGATCTATCAGCGTGGTCAATATATCAGTCTATCACTATCATTTACACTGATTTAATTCCTGTCCTGATGAATCTCAGCTGAGCAGCAGATCTCACTCTTTACCATCAGTCTGATAGTTGAGGGCAACCAGCTGGATTCCGTGCAGCCAGAAGATGAGAGGATTGGGGTTGGCGGAGTCGATGCGTGTGGCTGCAGGGTACGTGCGGAGCAGCTGGCAGCTGGTGTGCTGGATGAGCTTCTGGGAGTAGCGGCGACACAGACGCTTTGCAGCGTTCTCGTTGACAGAGGAGATATGGTAGCATCTGGGTGTGCGGATGATGGAGCTGAGAGAGGTGCTCGGGCTCAGTGTCAACGATGTTTGTTCCTCCCAGTTCATCCGAATGCCCTCCAGACTGGCTGCAGAAGAACCAAAAACACTGATTTGATATTAAGTTGCTATTGCAACTCGAAAGGACCTACAATTTCTTTCACAGAAACTGTTTAAAAGTGAAACTAAACACTATGAGATAGTTAAATAAATATCTTATGCGAGGCTGAGTCACATCAACGATTTGGCAAAGAGACAAAAGCAGAATCAGAGCACGTTTAGAGAAGGGGAAAGTCTGCAACTACAAACATATCCAGCAGGCTTTGCATATGCAACTGGGTTTTGCATATGGTTGTTTAAGGAATAGTTCATTTATAAAAAAAAAAAAACCTTGTTCAAAACTTGAATGACTGACTTATTTTGAAAAAAAATAAAAAATAATTAAGAAATAAATATATATTAGTTTTCTAATTTTAGAGTTGTAATGTAAAATAAAAACAGATTAAGAAAATATATTATTATTATTATTATTATACAGTGAAATACATTAGTAATTTTTTTGCATTTTTTTATCTTTTACTTCATCCAGTTCTCTTTTTGTTTTCTAAACATTTTACAAACAATTCAGCACATGAGTGAACTGTCTGAATGAATCAAACTGAATTGTAAACAATTCAGACCTTTTTGACTGAATTGTTGAAAAGAGTGATTCATTCATTAATCTGGCATCACTAGTTCTTATTCTAAATAGCTGATGGAAAACACACGAGATGATTGCTGAAATATTATCAGGGAAAATGGTTCTCAGGTTGGTATACTGTCTTCTCTATTATCTGTAATTATCTGTAATATTTTCCCACACAGCAGTATTTTGTGCCACAGTAAAAAGGGTATACTGACGCCCCTGCGACTGAGGCTTTCAAGCTGCATAAAGCAATATAAAAGAATCATAAAGCTGACCTCTAGGATTCAAGCTTGTAATCTTTCATTCATTGCAAATGCATGAAAAAGAGCAACATTCTTCAAAATTTCTTTCATGTTCTAAGTCAGTCAGATTTGGAATATCATGAGTAAATGCTGACAGAATTTTCAATTTAAGGTGAACTATCCCTTTGATAAAAAATAAAAAAAACTGCTAAAAAAAAATAGATGCACTTCTCTTAGGATGGTAGGAAGTTATCAGTTTAAGATTCAAATCAAAGAACCACTTGCCTTCCAAAAGTGCTTCTTACTCAAAAAGCACGTTTGTTTTCTCATACAGTCAGTCACTGGAAATATTCTGCAGAAAGGCATTTTTATGCGCTTTCGAGGGACTTCAGTATAATGGAAAACTTGAGAGCCCTTTTCCCATGGGTGCTCTAAGTGGGTGTTCTATTTCCTGCGTGCCCTGTGCACAGTTCCGTGCAAAACCGAGGCGGCTGTACCTTTCCCTGGAGCTCGGACCAACGTCACAGGCTCCCCGGGGCTTCCGCGAGCAGGAGCGCTGCCAAAAATGGATTTCCGGCTTTTTCTGTCTTTTCCCCTTCCAGAGCCTGATGGGGAGAGGGTGGAGAGGCCTAGTTCCCACGCACACAAACAAACACATATGTAAGGTCACGGCTGCAGGGTATATGCTCCTCCAGAACTCAAGAGCTTGATACTGTTTGTTTGTTCGAGACTCACCTCTGGGACTATTACGGTTTCCAGTAGAGCCAAACACCTGAATCTAATTTACCCACCCCTTTTGACAAATTCAGCTAATTCTGCAGCAGTTTACATTAGCCTTGTAGCACAAATAAGCAAAAGACGAAGTAATGCTTATTGTAAATTTAAACTGCAGATTTAAACTGCTACTTAGAATGAAGCTTGATAGACTACATTTGTAAAGAAGTAGCTTCCCCAACACCGTTTAGTCATCCATCAGGTTGCATCTACTTTGCTAGTCAACACATTAGGTCTTTGTCAGTCAGTTGTGGACTGCGTGCACAAATCACTTTATATGCGAACCACACAAAAATCTTATGAAATGGCACCGAAATTAATTTTCTCCAAAAATGAAAATTAATTTTATTTAAAAATTAATGAATGAATCAATTATATTCAATAATCAACACTCAAATAAAAACTGACTTGTATATAAACATTTACATTGAACATGAGGTAATTTTTATATCGTTGCTGAAATATAAACATTTAAATGATGTTTGTAAAGCTTGCTATGGACATTGAATGGCTTTGCATAATATATGTGTGTACTGTGTATATTTATTATGCATATATAAATACACAAACAAACATGTATATATTTTACAAATATTTACATGTATATATATTTATATTCATATATAATTAATATTATATATAAATATAAGTATATATTATGTAAACAAAAACTTTTATTTTGGATGCGATTAATCATGCTTAATCGTTTGACAGCACTACTTTCCAGATAAATGTAATGTTATGTGACATTGTTTACAAGCTCTTTTATTGACATCTTTACGTTTATTAATGACATGATAGATTTCAGCAAGTTGAGTTGTTTCTTTCAACATGCTGTACCTTCTGATGTTCATGTATGTTTTCTGCAATAACTAAGAGTAGGTTATTGTGATTATTGGATGGGAAGCATGCTATAAATACTGTTAAGTGAAGTTTTGGTCATGCATCAACTGAAAACAGCATATTGTGTGCACTAAATAGACCATGCACCATCATTTTGGCCAAAACGGAAATTATTTCAGCCAAACCCAAAAATAAATTTTTGCCCAAATATCTCAGGGTATCTCACTGTGCTCGTGTAATAATGAGATGAGATGTAAACCTGGGAATTTGATAGCCTGACAGTAGATGACCAGATCAGAGAGCTCTTGAGCGATCTGTCTGCTCTCCTTCTCATTCTGGGGCAGGTAGAACTCCTCTCCTAGTTCCATGTCAAACATCTGCAAGGACACAGAAGAACAACCATCACAGAAGTATTCAGGTAGAAAGGAACTCAAATGTTCATCGTTACAGTTCTGTACAGACCTTTCCTTTGCTTCCCGCTTTCTTGAACCGCTTGGGCATCTCATCATTGGACTCATACTGAAGTTTCTCAGTGGATGACTTGCCTTCGGGTTTGTCATCCAGAATATTGTCTGCAGAAAAGAAAAAGATTAAGATAAACCCAAAGAGAAATTTCTTCAGCCAAAAAAAAAGAACAATTCCATCTAAATACAAAATTAACAAAAACTTTGCAAAGCACATAAAGGTGAAGCAGTCATATTTAAAAGTCAGTCACACAGTTTTAAAACTACATGCGGTAAATGTAAATGATGACAGAGTTTGCATTTTGGGGTGAACTATCCCTTTAAAATCTGGAAGTAAATGGAAATTGTGGAAGTTTTTCTTCTCTATTGTGACGTATATCCAAGTGACATGTAGGGCGGTACTTGATTTTGTCCATCGGGAATTGATTGGCTCGGTTGACAGGTTAGGGATTATTGTACCATCTTCAAGTTGGATGAGAAGAGATGTCATTGTGAGGGGTAGAGGATGTTAATATTTTTTATTAAATATTACGTGGGCACATGAATTGAAAAAAAAATGTGCATGGATAAAAAATGTATAAATACTGCAATATGCCATAAAAATTGAAATGAGAATTGTCAATTATGACTTCATGCTTAACTTTAAGTCTTTGATGTGAAACGCCCAGTCAGTTTTGTCAATCATGAGCAATGTTCTGACATCCTAAAATCTAGAAACCCCATCTAGTGGGCCTTTATTTGATTGTGATCACAGTAGCAGTCATTCTGTAGGTGTGCAACCCACAGACACTGTCAGGACGTCACTGGAGTCCAAGATTTATCACAAAGGGTATTAATTGGTCATCCGCTGAAGTCACACAAAGCAATCAAAGATTTGCATTTTACCTTAGGACGAAACATATCTCATATGATTTTTGAAATTCGTCTCCGATGGTAAAATCATGGCAAATGCATACCCGGCTTAAGATAGCAGGTTGATTGAATGCCCAGCATTCCCCTGACTACACAAACTCATAGCTGAGTCTCTGGGGAAAGCCGTATGGGAAAGAACAAAGTCTCTTTTAACAGAGAGCAGCCCAGAGCCTGAGAAACCAGATGGCTTTGTTTTTCCCCCACCGATGAGCCAGTGCCGAAAGCAAGGTCGAGCCATTTTCAAAACACCAAGGACTGGAAGCGAACATTGAAGCAAGTTTGGGTAGTTTTGTTTATACACTGTACCACCCACCTTTGTACTCAAAAACACTGATTTATTCATGGCAGAAGCAGACAGAGTCAACACACCAGCAGCATATAGCAGTAAGAGCGACACACGGCATCTCTGCACACATTTACATGGGCAGTTGACATGACATGCACATCTACTGTCCTCATTGAAAAAGACCAATAATTTTCCACTTACTTTTTCATAATTTGGCTGGACAAAAAATAATACAAATTTTGTCCACAAACATACAATTATCTACCAAAATTGTACTTTTCCACCAGGGACGCGGGAAGTAGGGGTGCTGAGGGGGCTGCAGCACCCCCTGTTTTCACATGGTTGCAAATGCAAC